TGAGGCTTGATACTGTGAGAGACCAGGAAAGGCAATTGGTGAAAGTGCAGCCACAGTTGCAATTGATGGCCTAGGACTGAAGGGGTCATGCAAAGGAGTTGAGGCGCACCACCATGAAGAGAGCCTGTGAGAGGCTATTGGTAAAGGCTAATTGCAGTGGAAGAACCTAGTGTACTGGAGATGCCAGTACCATGGGATGACCACCACAAACAGCAGCAACAGTAGAGTCAGCCTGAGCCCAGAGTGCTACCAAAAGCAAAGCTGGAAAAGTGACTCAAGCTCTTTGGAGCAGCCCACATCATGTGCTCCAAGATCCAAGATGTTGGAACAAGAAGGTGTAAGTTGAAGTTGTCTTGGATACCCCAAGATGTTAGGAATGCCAGAACCATGAGTTACCTGCCCAGGAAGCTGCTAACAGGGAGTGGAACCAGCCCAAGAGAAAGAAGTTGTTGCAGTCAACAAAGATGAAAAAGGAGTGAAGATCTGAAGACTGCTTTGACATCAGACATGGAGGTGCAGAGTTTAGAGTTTACCCAGCTGGTTTTTGGTCTTGCTTTTGTCTTTGCATTTCCATATGATGTTTTGGAATGGTAATATATCCTGTGATGTTAAAAATATGTGATCTGCTTTTTTATTTCAATTTTAGAGGGAATTACAGTTAAGAAATTGCGTGAATCACAGAGGAGACTTTAAACTTTGGACTTTCAACATTGTTGAGACTGGTATAAATTATGAGGACTTTTGGAGTTGGATTAAATGTATTTTGCATTGTGCTATAGCTAGATATACCCCTCGCAGACTCATGGGTTTGAATAAGCCTATGGGACCAGGGAGTGGAATGTGGCAGTTTGAAAATGCTTGGCTCAGGGAGTGGCACAATTAGGAGTTGTAGCCTTGTTGGAGTAGGTGTGGCCTTGTAGTGTGTTGCTCTGGAGGTGGGCTTTGAGACCCTCCTCCTGTCACCCTGGAAGACAGTCTCCTCCTGGTTGCCTTCAAATCAAGATGCAGAACTCTCAGCTCATTCTCCAGCACATACCTGCCTAGACACTGCTATGCTTCCCACCTTGATGTTAAAGGACTGCACCTCTGAACCTGTAAGCCAACTTTAATTAAATGTTGTCCTTATAAGAGTTGCCTTGGTCATGGTGTCTCTTCATAGCAATGGAAACCCTAACTACGAGATAGATAAATAATAAATAATTATTTATTATTAAGTAATAAAGTCTTATAAATAATGTTTTCTTTAGAAAGAAATGAAGGAAGGCAGACAGACAGACAGACTAATCCTTTCCTCCTTTCCCACTCATACACAGAATCTCAGATCCTTTAAGGTCCAGCATAATTTAAGCGTTAATTCCTTTCTAACCCCCCCCCCAAGCCGCTGCACTCACAATGCAGATCTTATTAAACCTCATAGTCTCTTCCTCTGGATGCCTCAGAAAAGGCAAAGTAACTCCTGTTACATACTAAACATTCTGCTCAGGAATACACTGTCTTTTGTCTCCATTTCTGAGTATTTTATCTATTTGGCCTCGAGATAGAAAGCAGACAGATGTCTGTTCTGTTCAAACTGAAGGCAAGCGCCAGCACCAGGCTCCCATCTCATTTGTGGGGAACATCTGTTTATTATAATGCACAGGGGTTCGAGTTTCAGGGTTTGCAGTCCTGAGATCCTCTAGCCTTAAATCATCCCCAGTTGGCAAACAATAGGGAGGGCCAGGCCAGGAGAGAGGCAGATAAACAGAGGAAGCCTGGGTAAGGGGTGAGATTAAACAAAGAGCACAGACAGACCAGCCCCCCTCCCCCCTCACCCCTCCCCACTTCCCCTTATTGGCTAATGCACTCACCTATGGAAGCACTGATTTCAGTGACTGTGACATTGAGACCCTTTCTGCCCTGGCTCTTCTTGATGGTTGTCATCTATATTAGAAGGTGTGTGTGTGTGTGTTTGTGTGTGTTTGTGTGTGTGTGTATGTGTGTGTGACACACACATTCACACACACACACACACAAAAGAGTTCCAGAGTCTTGGAATGCTATTGTTGTTTCAAGGGATATGCCAATCAAACCAGCCTGTCACAGTTTAGGAAAATTGACAACCAGGGCCATAAAGGAACTTTCTAGAATGCCTTCATGACAGCTTTGTAAGAAAGTATTAATTTTAGCATTTGCACTCAGGCCTGTTTTTAAAAACACAGGTGCCAAACACCCAAAATGTACACACACACACACACACACACACACACACACACACACACAATTTTACAGGTACATTTTCAGAACTAGTATCCTGTATTCAGTGACTGAGGGCTATAGCGGTACCTTGCACTGGCAGCCAAATTTGGTAAAGCATAAGGGTTTTCCCAGTAGTACTTGTCTTGAACATATGAAGAGGCTCATTGAGAAGAGCTGAGGCTTGGCCCCTTGAGAAGCCAGAAGAGGCCCTTAGTGAATGTGCAACCTTCTTTAAAATAGGAGCAAGCTATTAAGCAGTGCTCCTCCGTGGTCTCTGCATCAGTTCCTGCCTCCAGATTCCTGCTTTGAGTTCTTGCCCTGATTTCCCTCTCTTGTGCACTATAAACTGTAAGATGAAATAGACCCTCTCCTCTCCATGTTGCTTTTGATCATAGTGTTTTATAACAGTAATAGAAAAGCAAATAATAAAGCAATGAGTCTCACTGGGTCATTTTAAAAGAGAACATTGAAATTATCATATTTATACATTTTTAAATATGGAACCAGACCTGGCCCTTTTTCCAACTCTTGTCATTTGTCTGTTTCATGATGTAGGATATTTTACTTAAATGATTTAAATGTCCATTTCTCTGTCTATGAGATGTTATGACACAATGATATCTTATGAGTAATTTATGGATAACCATTTCGGGTCTTGTCCTTGTCCATTCTAAACTTCTATGCCTTTTCATTATCACTGTTCTGAGCCCTGGTGTCACAGAATTCTAGAGTCCTGGTACGCTGTTGTTGTTCCAAGGGATGCCAGTAAAAGCAGCCATGTCACAATTCAGGAAATTGAGAACCAGGGACATAAAGGAACTTCCTAGAATGTCTAAATGACAGCTTTGTAAGAAAGTGTTTTTTTAGGTTTGCACTCGGGCCTGGTTTACATGCTGACTATGGCCAGACCAGGACACTGGGCTGTATAGATCAGGGTTACCACAGCTTGGGCTGTTCCATCCATGAAGAAATGGACATGTCTATGGTAGCTAGAAGACTCCCGTGGCCTCCCATATATTCAAGTTTCTTTATAAACTCCATCTTTGCTTTTGCTGTTGGGCTTGTCTAACCATGCAGCACAGCTAAGCAAAGATTAAAGCCTTACAGAGGGACAAGACATCTCTGTACATGAGAACCCACCAGGTGAGGGGGACACAAAGGTCAAAGGGTAAATATCTAAGAAGAGGCAGGGAAAGACAGGAGATAGAGAGGTAGTTTAATTTTTTCTTTGCAGAGTAGTAGAGGGTCCCCAAGTCCTCCCTCGGTGTGACTGTGTATCTTGGAACTTTATCTTATCAGAGTTAGTGCTGTTTTCTACAGAGAGAAAAATCCCCAAGAGAGGGATGCCCTGTCTTTATATACAGTTTTGAAAATACATTTGTGGTTAGAAAGGGCTTACTTTATTTGATTTTAATGATAGATAAATCATATCCATTTGTCACACACTAACTGGTGCTTTAAAGTTTCTAAGTGTATATAGGATTCTACACTGTACTTCTATGAATTCAGTTTTTATTGTTGCTGGTTTTGTTTTGTTTGGGGTTGGTTTGTTTGTTTAGATTTTGCCGTAAAGCAATTGGTTGTGTTTGTAAGCCTGGCGCATTGCACTTTACCTACATCTAGAACATCACAGTTGCTAAAAGCCCCTTATTTTTATTTTTGGCTAGTACTCCTCTGTCCACGCGCCACAGATTCTCAGTACCTCCATCTGCTCATACATCTGGGTTGATTCCCCATCCTGGCTATTGTGACTCGCTGCCGTGCGCATGGGGGCGCAGGTGTCTCGATTCATTGCCTTTGGATGTGTACCTTCTAACGGGATCACTGGGCTCATGAAAGTTCTGGTGGTTACTGACTTTATTTATAATGGCTGCACTTATTTACACGGGACTCTCTTTGTTCTTGCCAACACTCATTATCTTTTTAAAATCTCGGTATATCACCTTTGACATTATTTGCTTCGTTGTCACACTCAGAAATCAATTCAGCATTTTTATATGGAAAATCTATCCTCTTTGGCTCTGTTTAGTTTTGTGGTTGTTTTCGATACAAGGTGTAAAAATTTTAGAAGGGTGGGCCAAATGTTTATTGATAGAATAAAAGAAAGAAAGTGTGATTATATAATAGGATTCAGAAATATATATAGCTAATTTTACACCTGCATGCCTCTAACCCAGGCAGGGCAGTTATACTCACTCTTTCGTGTCAGGCTCTTCCCTTAGGAGAAACGTGCTAGGTGGGACCTAGGTGATCATTACAAACCATTTTCATATAAATCAAACTTCCCCAAACGTAGGTCACTTGGGCAAGAAGGGACTTTTGATAAAATTAGGCTGACAATTTGATTCTCTGGGCACGTCGATGTCACATGTTCTTTCCACACTCTAAATCATAAGGCAGTGTAAACAATGCCCTAGCATTGAGGAACAGAGAACTGCATTTTCAGTAACAGCAGAGCTTCACGGCACATGGTTTCACGCTTTAATATGCTGTGTTCTGTTCTGTCGCGCTAATATTTTAAGTAATATAACTTCCTTTTTGTAGAGTTGTAGGTTCTACATTGTATACTTTCTCTCCTTTACCCTTCTAGAATAGCTTTCTGTAATACCACATCACTTTCTGTAATACTACATCGCATGCCAAGAGAATCTCCAGAGGAGGAGGGAATGTAAATTCAACCAATCCGTGTGAGATGTTAACACAAACAGAACCGACAATGGGGTGAACGATGTCTAGCCAACACATTGTCTTGTGTGCTTTTGCAGACTCAATCTGCGTGCCAGGCTTCGATCCAGGCCTCAACATGATGACTGGGATCACCCCCATTAACCCGATGATACCAGGCCTGGGGCTGGTACCGCCCCCACCTCCAACGGAAGTGGCTGTCGTCAAGGAAATAATCCATTGCAAAAGCTGTACTCTTTTCCCCCAAAATCCAAGTAAGTGGAAGTGAGAGGCATTTGCTCATCTTACTACTTTTTATTTTGAAATAGTATTGTGTTCATTTTCAGACGGGCGACGTTCTACCCAAGGCTCTGTCTCTCCATTAGAACAGGTACACAGGGATATGTCCATGCAGCTGTCCAGCCACTGAATAAATACCGTGAAGCCAGTAGGCTCTGAGAGTTGATTTGGAACACTAAGACTCTTTCCTGTGTGCAGTGAACTAGCATTTTCTGGAAAGCATTGTGTGAAATCTATCAGCTTCTCTATCCACCTTCACAAATGGGAGAAAAAGTCTCAAGTGTGTCTTACTAGATAGAACAGTGAATTAATCTGGCAGGTGGCAATTTGGGGGAAAGGTGAGAGGCGGGAGGACTATGCATCTCAGAATTTCTGGGCCAAATCATGTTCACTTGAAGGACCTATATATTTGATTAATTTAGCCTCTGATACTAAGTTTATAGGCCTAAATAGCTGGATTTTTTTATAAATTCATATTAATAAGTGTTGCCTATTCGAACAGGACTTCTCAGGAGATAGCTGTAGTAATCTACACATAAACTAGGCAAAATGTTGTGACAGCATGCGCTATCTTTTCATACAGCCTCCTCAAAACTTAACAGTGTGCTCATTTAAATGTGAATAATAACCAGGGCTTTTTCCAGACTCAGCATCTTTGCAGCCAGGTAAGTATTGTTGCATGCTCTCGTGGGCTGTGTTTCCCTCCTTCCACGGGGCCGCCCCTTTATCTGGCAAGAAGACAAAGCAGCAGCAAGCCAGGGCTTTTCATCATGTGTCATTTCATCGTGCTTTGTACTTGTGACGCTCTCTCCCTCCTCTTTTTCTTCTTCTGGGTGTCTGTGTATGAAAGAGAAATGAAATTATGCTAACACGTGTTATCTTTTTCTCTGGACAAGCTCAGCCACTCTGTGCAGAAATGAACAGGAGAAATAAAGGTTGGGAAGGGGGAGGGGAGAAGATCAGGAAACATGATGGGGGAGGGGTAACAGTGGGGATGGGGAGACATAAGTTGTTGTAAAAATTGACAGTGCCTCAGTCTGGAGAATACTCTGCAAGTTTAACTTTTGCCCTGTGAACCTGGTAAAGAACCAATCGATAAAAGACAAAACTCTGTTTCGTTGTGATATTAGATCTTCCACCTCCTTCCACAAGAGAACGACCTCCAGGGTGTAAGACTGTGTTTGTCGGAGGATTACCAGAAAATGCTACGGAAGAAATTATTCAAGAAGTCTTTGAGCAGTGCGGAGATATCACAGCCATCCGAAAGAGCAAGAAGAATTTCTGTCACATTCGCTTTGCAGAAGAATTCATGGTTGACAAAGCCATTTACCTCTCTGGTACCTCACTTTAGAAAAAGGGGGTTTGCCCGGCATTCTGTCTTGTTTTTTGATGTTTCTCTGAGCTCCTTCCCTTTTGCCTTAATGCACAGTAAGTCCTGGTAGTTTGGGGGCTGGAGAAGGAGGCATTCACCTTTCAGCTTGGCTGCCACGTGTTCTTTGTTAAGCCTGTGCCTCTCCACAGGCAGGTTTGCCTACCATCCAGTCTTGAGGAATTCCACAGAGTTTCTAATTAATGTTCTCAAGTGCGTATTAGATGAAAAGCAGTATTTTGAATACTGAGGACCATTATTATTATTGGATGTAATCCTCAGGGGGACTAAAGTACTCTCTCAGAATAATTTCAGTTTCTTAAAAATGCATCTACAATCTTCACCCCAGGGATAGTGAAGCAAGATCCCCTCCTTGCAGGGAATGTGTTCCAGGGCCTCTGACAGGCCCACTGTCCTCACACACTTGGTAGTTCAGCTGCCTGCTCTACCATCAATGACCTTAGGACCAGGGTTTAGGAGAGCTTTACAAATGTGAAAAGGAAGCCGAGTGCTGCCTTCTGCTCCATGGGTATCTATCAGGAAAACTAACCAAAGGACCCTGAGGCTAATGTTGACATGGGACTTTAGAAGAATTTATTTTGAGATTCCCCTCACTGCCTTTTGCTCCTCCTCCAGTGACATTTGTGCAGACTGCCTACCTAACTCTGAGCAAAAGTAACCTGGGGTGGCAAAGAATCAAGTAAAACAGATGGGCTCCACCCTCAGGCTTTGCTGATGTCTGCAGCCAGTCTCCACTGCCAGTTCATTCTGTGTGAACTCCTGACAGGCCGAGGTTATCTCAATGCCTCAGAGAGCTTCTTGCTCTCTGAGAGATCTAGAGAATGGTCAATCCCTTACTGGACTTAAGCTCTCCATAAGGAAACAAAGTCTGAACATTCCACAGTGGAAATGAATAAAGATATTTCACAACACACACAGCACCCAACTGTGGTCTCCAGGACCACTGGGGATCCTGGAGAGAGTAGGGCGTGGCTTTCCTTCTCCCTAACGGAGATGATCTGTCATACTACTTGTATCTGTGGGTGGAATAGTCAGTTTCCCAGCAGGACTCCTAGGTGAGGTTAATCACATGGATATGAAGTGCAGTATGAGAACCTCTGGGTGTCAGACTGTTCTTAACAAAACAAGCCTGGTCAGGATAATGGACAGATGCTTCTTTCTCATCACTGCCTGCCTGGAAATCTGGGTTCTAGTCACTACATTCAGTCAAACTATTACTCATCCTCCGTAAGTCAGTAACTTCATCCCGTGTGACTGAAGAAGTGGGTAGGTGAATGTCCTTTTCAACACTAACACAAGTCACCTTTTAGACCAAACAGAAAATGCAGAAGATGCCAACAAAGATGAATAGTGCCAAATACAGACATATGGAGGGAAATATAGACAAACTCTGACGCTTCTTGATAGCTCTTTTGAAGCAGGAGGAAACACAGGCCCCACCCACTTCAAGCCTTCACTGCCTGGGTGCAGAGAAGTCTCCAGCTTTGCTAGGGTGGTCTCTGCAGCTGAGGTCTGAAACCCCAGCTGTTGGGGGAAGGGGCAGGAAGGAGAGAAAATTACCCCGCCCCCTCGTGTAATCTCCTGCAAGCCCAGCTGGAAAGGCTAATTTTAGGAGCACTTTCACATTTGAGGGCCAGGCTAAGTTTAGCCTCCGCCTCATCAGAGTCTTTTAAGGCTGTAATGATGATGTTCTGATGAAAGAGGACCAGAAATGTTTTAGGGAGTGATTCTCTGGAACATGAGCGGAGAAAGTTGTTTTGACCAACTCAGACAGCTGGCCAGGACACGACCTGCTGATTTAACTTTCCACAGCCCACCACCATATTCCGAGTCAGCATTAATTCCGCTCACGTGTGAGTGGCTATTTGCATCCGGGATGGGTACTGTTCTGTCTCTCCTATGCTGTTGAGACCTGAAAGAGTTCAATCGGATGAGAACAGTAGCAAGCACATTTGTAACTTGTAAAAAGTGTTAAGCGTCCTGCTGTGGGGGGGGTGGGGGGGAAGAGGGGAAAGTCAACTTCCGGGGAGGTTTTGTGGGTAGCCATTGAAATGGCCAAGGATAAGGTGCAGGCAGCACTGTACAGCACAGCTCTTCCCAGTTGCATCTCATTTGCAAAACCCTTGCAAGACAAGGGTGCTTGCTTTTGTTCCCTTCCTGGAGCAGCCCCTGCCAGGTATGCTCCTGCTAAGACCTGAGTTGATGTTGTGAATATCTGAGTACTCCAAACTGAAGAACAGCCTTACTGTCAATTCTTCTAAATTTCAAGTTAGGCTGGCTGGCAGTATCCAGTCCTGTGTTGACCTCTCACAACCTCTCACACCCCTCAACCCCAACCACTATAAATTGGGTAACTAGCAGTAATCCTCCCATCCCCCTAAAGATCCCCCCCCCTTCTTTCTGGTCTAGCTTTGTGCTCATGTACAAGCCTCTTACGGCCTACAAAGATTGCGTGGACAATTTGTGTGGTCATGTGGGCTGGATAAGGTGCTATGGGACCTCTTGATTGAAGGTAACATATTCTCCTGCATGCCCCAGAGGATAAGTGGAAATAAAACAGTGTTGCAAAATTGCAGGGGTAATTGTGGCTTTGGTAGCCGCAGAGAGAAACCCAAGCGGCAGTGTTTGCTAGGGGAATGAAGCAATAGGCTCCGAGTAAAGTTATGAAATTTACTTTGCAGGTCCCTTCAAATATCATAGATGCTCTTTGTTTACTCATACCCTGCCTCTTTGAAAAAGAATTTAAGAGTGCATATGAAATAGAGTTATAGAACATTGAAAACAAAAAGCAAGACCCCTGGAAGCCAAAGGGAGGAAGGAGTGGCCAGGATTTAGTGCTCTGTTGGTGCAGCAACCAGGTTGTGAGGTTCCCTCTGGGAAAATAACTAGGGGGCAGGGGGTGGGGTATATTTACCTCCACATCTGTGCTTCACGATTAACTCTTTAGAAGGATACTTGCTTCCCACCTCCAAGAGGCAAAGGTATCTTCTCTCTGGAGGCCAAAGACAGAAGAAGTGCATGGTTGCTTAGCTTGTGGGGCACGTGTCCCCTGACCCAAGGTGACCTGGCTTTCCACTGCTTCTAGGCTACCGAATGCGATTAGGGTCGAGCACGGATAAAAAGGATTCTGGCCGCCTGCACGTGGATTTTGCCCAGGCCAGGGATGACTTTTACGAGTGGGAATGCAAGCAAAGGATGCGTGCCCGGGAGGAGCGGCACAGGCGCAAACTGGAAGAGGACAGGCTGCGGCCTCCCTCACCGCCCGCCATCATGCACTACTCCGAGCACGAAGCTGCCCTGCTGGCTGAAAAACTGAAAGGTAAGGGAGTGGGGGCGGGTAGGGGGGACTCCCACTGGAGCCCTCACCTTCACCTTAGCCACCAATTGACAAAGGAGAAAAGGAGATCTCCAGATGCCAGATTCCTGTGTGTAGTCTCTGCTGCAAACTCCATGTGAGTGGGAGCGAGCTAGGATCTGCAGACACCCCCTCCACCCCACCCCACCCCCACTCCATCATCACACTAGGGACAGAGCCATTGCTGTGTCAGAATCTCTGTATGAAGGTTGGAAGGGCTGCCATCCCCAATCCCAGCAGCAGCCTGTGGTCCCCAGACTGTGCTTAGTGAGCCAGGGCAGTGGCCTCACCGATGATAAGTTGACATTTTCTAGTACTCTCTGAGTTCTCTGGACCGTGTAGGTCCGCTAGACACTGAAAGCTTTCCCAAGACATCTTACACACGATGTCTAGGGTTTGTGGAAAAGAAAAGAGAAATGTAGACAGGTCCCCTGTCTTAGAGGTAGAGTGGAAGGAACCCTTCTCACACGTACAGTTGAGTAACAATAGTGTGTATGGGGGGGGTTGCACACATGTGTGTCTGTGTTGGGGTCTAGGGCTAATAGTGACCAAAGTGGATGAACTGAATGACATCTATTTTATATGACTAGCTTATATCTTATATGACTGTTTTTATGACTGACATTTTATAGGCCAGTGGTAGGTGATCAGGACTCCTGAGGGTGCTGGCTACTGACAGGGCCATAGAGGGTCACAGTTGCCACAAGTAAATGAGTGACTGCCAGCAAAGCCTGGGTGTCGAGCAAGGCATGTGCGACGAGCTTTGAGAATGCCAGCAAGTGTAACCAGAGCAGGGAAAGGGGTCAAGAATACCTTCACATGGCAGGCAGGATTTGAACTTGCTGGGATAAACAAGAGGTCTCTCTCCTAAGTTAGAAAGGTTCACAGAGGCAATCTAGCCAGAGCCCAGAGCCCTAAGAACAAAAATGTGAAAAGGATTTGGTGTGGGCACTGTGATCCTAAAGCAAGGTGACGCTGGAGAGGGTCTCAGCCAGATGGTGAAGCCCCGAGGCTATTGCAGGGTTTGGTTGCGCCCGCCCGGTAAGAAGTGAAGAGATGGCTTCATGGATTTCTGAGGAAAGGAGAGGTGTGATTGGTTCTTGGTGGGAGTTGGGGTGGGGGTGTAAGAGCCTACCTCATGTATTATTGGCAGTGTCTTAAATGGATGGGACGGTCTTACTGAAGAAAATCACCAGTTTTAGGAAGATGGGAGATGGCATTCTATGCTTTATCTAAAAGGCAGGGTATAGCCTTCTAGCCATCACGTCTGTCAGATCTAAGGACTCCTAATTAGCTATGCTTGCCTCTGAATTGCCTCTCTCCAGCTACTGAGTACTACCTGCTGGCTTTCTTGGTACCTGCCCAGATGCTCCAAGAAGGCCTCATAATATAGGCATAAATGTACAAACAGAGGCTACCCCTTCAGTGAGCAGCATATGCAATGTAAATTCAGCCTAGAAACCATTATGAGATCCCAGAATGAGAAAGAGCAAGACTTATAACCAGGAATGCTCATTGCAATAAATTCTTTTTTTGTAAACATCAAGTGAATTTGGTGGTACCACCCTGTGGTCCCCTTGACCTGACTGTGTTCCAGCCCACGTAGCTCAGCCCCTAGAGCGTGAGATTCTTAAGATGGGTTCAGTCATGGCTACACCTTAGTTCTGTACTGCACAGAGGGATTTCATGAAGGTCTGGCATCTAATGTTAATGTTATTTCTATGAAGCCAACATCAAAAGTGCCAATTGCATGTATAAGGTACATGGCATTTGCCTCTACTTTTGGAGGACAGCAGATTGGGATGTCAATTTGCTGGAGTAATTTGTGAGCCTTGCCATTTCAAAAATGTATATTTATATAGATGAGTATAATTTGCAGAATTCGGAAGCTGTGCCTTTGCCAAGTACTGTGTGATCCCTTGAGGAGAGAACAGATTGGAAATTTTAATAGATGGCTCTTACAGTAGAATGAACTAGCTGCAGATACATCTTAGGCAAGAGTCAGGTAATATCAAGCTTGACAATTTCAACCCAAGCACAGAGTTTGGAATATAAACAGCATTTAATTGCTTAGGAAATTGGCTGCCTCCAAGAGGAAATCCACTCTCTGCTCCTTATGACACTGTAAAGCTAGGCAGTGGGAGTCAAGGAAACTGTTTCCCTGAAGATGATTTCATTGATGCAGGGATATAAAATTTAGTCAAGTCGGAAGGTACAGAAACCTGTGTCAGAAGGAATCTGAAAATACCTAATTGGATTTGATTTTTTTTCCCTCCTGTGAGAAACCTTGCCATCCTAGGTTTATTAGATATTTTCCTCCTATTTTATACCATACTTGTTTATTCTTGTAATTTAGTTTTGAAGATTATCCACATCCAGCAAAATCTGTATCAATCAAATCTTTATTATGACCTACAAGGCTTCCTACACAGTTAGGTGCACACAGTAGGTGTTGGGCACATTAATTCCTCTCTTCTCCAAGTATCTGAATCTGTGGGCATCTAGCATTTCTGGCCACTAGAGCTCATTTCCAGGCTGGAAATGAGAGAGGTGATTATGTTTAGCCTGCTGCCAATCAAGGAATAAGTATTTTACAAATACCCGACATTGGGTACTAGTGCTAGGCACTTGGGGAAGAGAAAACACCATACCAGATCCTGCCTCATAGAATCTAGGTAACTTCTTGGGTGATAAAAGAAATGGCTAATCATCCAACATAGATAGAACGGTGAACTATGGTACGTATAAACACTATTAGCAGCAGTGTGCATTATGGAGAGTGGCAACTGCAGGATGCTTTCCCTAGACAGACAACCAAGCTAGTGATGTCACACGTGTGAGAGAAGGGGACATCTTTGGGGATCACATCTCCCCATTTGCCGACTGCCTGACTTCCAGAAGCCGGAGGAAACAGTAGAGTTGTAACTGTGCAGTGTCTAAGGCAAAGAGTCGCCAGCCATAGGTTTCATTAATACAAATTCTAAAACAGAAAATCAGTGGGCACCCTGCTGATTAAATAGACATTGTTGTGAGACAATTCAACTTAATGAAGACTGACTGGGAAGTAACTGTGCAGAGGCCTGAAGTTTATGGCATGGCTTTGGGAGAGCGAGAAGGAGCTCAATAGCGCCATAATTACACTTTATTGGAAACAGTGGCACCAGACAGATGAGATAATGAATTCTAGTGTTTCTAACATGGGCCGAGCAGCCCTGAAGGGGCCTAGGGTCTGGGCCGCACAAGGAAGAGATTGATTTGACCACGAGGAAGCATTATATCTTCATTCACTGGAGACTTCTCTGGCAAGAACATTTTAAAAGTTTTTCAGTACTTTCTCTCCCACTTGGAAAGATGCACACAGTGTTTCATTATGAAGACTCTCTCTTTGCATCACGTGAACTTCTGACCAAGTCCTCTAACCAATGTCCTTGGGAATCTCCTCGTATGTCACTGAGAAGTAAGACTGTGCTCATGATTTTCAAAGGGCTAGGCTCACATTTGCATAGAGTATGGCTGGCATCCATTGGTAGGTGTGGAAGTGTGGCTGGCACTCTGGAGATGCTTGTCAATATTTATGGTTCTATGAAAGTAAAAATCAATAATGCTATGAGCCAAGTGGACATTCCATTAGCTAACAGCCAGACCTCCTTCTTCAGGCAAGGAAAATACAAAGCAGAGGGAGCCTCCCTGAGAAGCATTTGGGGGGGGGGGGGTGTTATTGACCTTCATGGAAGCAAGAGAGGCCATTTCACTTAGACATTTTCCTTGGCCCTGCAGGGGGAAATAATCAGTACAGTTTTTTATTGCCCTCTTCGTTTGCACATTTTAGGAGCACTGAGTAACTGAGGAGATTGTGTTGCGGCACAAGGGAGCATTAACCAATTATGTAGCCTTTATATGCTGTTCTGGTTAATGGGTGCACAGTTAAGCACCCAAAAAACCGAAGACTTCTGTAGGTCAAATTTTCCTTTGAACCAGTTTTAACATTTTACCACATCTTCATTAATTAATGAGTTAAATGACATTATTGGAACATGCCCAGTTTGTATTTGCAAAATGGTCCTGATTTCTCTGCCACAGATTGTTAACCCCAGAAGTGCACCTTTTCGAAGGCATAGTGGACACTATCATCACACCCAAGACTCCCAGCCTGCAGAAGGTGGGGGCGCTTGGTAAATTTTAATCAGACTGGTATGTGGATAATGGTGGGGGAAAGGTGCCAGACTGATGGGTAGTTTTCCTTGCTCTTGTGTGCTACCTGGAGATTTAGCCCTGGATTTCAAAACAACATGCAGATCAAAGCCAGGCTGTGAGCATAGGATAAGAAACTTAGGTGGGCTTTGTGCCTTTATTTATGTCTGGGTCTATAAAAGAACACTAACAGAGCTTCCATGATTGAGCAGAAAGAAAAACATTCAGAAGATATTCCACAACACTTTTTACCCCTCTAAGAAATAATCACATACTGATTTCTAGCTATGATGGTAGCTGGAAATTCCTCATGTAATTCACTTTACGAAGATTTAAATTTCTACTGAACAAAAATCCCTTGCATTGTTACAGAGAATTATTTGCACTGTTCATTTCCACAACTTATGTTCTCTCTTCAGAGCTGTAAAATAGTCTAGTCAAAAACAAACCAAAGAACACACCCCAATGAAGGCAAAAGTGTGGAGCGGGTTGGCTGCTCCATACCCAGTATCCCACTGAGAGGATCTGCATTGATCTCTATGCCTGTTTCCAGGTCTTAGGTAACTTTTCTCTTTCCTGTTCACAGTGACAATTATTCTTTTATTGAAAATGGGGATTTAGAGACAGACACTTGCAAAGCTCATAAAAATCACATCAAATCCTTTCAAATTTCTCTTAAATTTTAGTTACTACTTTCCATTTCAGGTTTGTGTTATCTCTTAACTTAGCTTAGCATGTAACTACTTTACCTGGCTTCCCCCAAATCATTTCTTGCAGTGTGTCTGAGACTTCCAATTGCATATAAGGGGTGAAGTGCCGTCACAGGTGGGGGATTCTGAGAAAAGCTAAGTCTGTGTGTTTAACAAGCTCTCAAGGATACTTTGGCTTGCAGTCTTCGAATAGCAGGTTATCCTGTTGGTGATTTTAATGTCAACTGTGTAGCAGGTGCTCACCAAACATGAAGAAGAGGTCGCACAAAATCAGAAGTAACCAGACATAGAACAAGATGGCATAGATTCAGCTGGGGACACTGAGAGACAAAGGATGGGAATCATAATTACTGACTTCGCCTTCCAAAGCTAGCAAATTGGTATTACCTCCCCCAAATTACACATGCTTTCCAAAATATCTTTAACCAACTGAGAATCCACTTAGATATTTGACTGTCATGAGTACTCTCCAGTTCTCTTAGAGTGTCCAGCATCACTAGAAACTTTTCTCCTCTCCTCTCCTCTCCTCTCCTCTCCTCTCCTCTCCTCTCCTCTCCTCTCCTCTCCTCTCCT